GGGTTAGCCGATATGGATAGGCATATTATAGACTTCTTTTTTTTTTAATTCGGTATGGTAAATTAAACACAAATATGGACACCCTACTTTGAGACAGAAAATGACATAAGACAGTTTGAGTAGATCAAGTGTATGTATAAATTCCTTAAAGATTTAGCAAAAAAGTAGTAAAATTCCTTATTAATGTTATGATATATGGTGTGCAGGCAGTCCATTCGTGTGCCACATATCTGCGCCGGCGCGTGTGATCGGCGCGGGCGCGGGCGAGTCCCCGGACAAGGTGTCTGTGGGCGACGCCTACTCCTTCAGCGTGGACTCACCCGCCTCGCCGCACGTCGACGTCCTCGGGCCCGCCAGGAGACCTGTGCCTGTGCAGGTATGGAAATATTTCTTGTTTTCTTTATATTTATAAAATTCTCTACTTTTTACTAAAATTTTATTGTAGTTATAAGAAAAATTAAAAATAGAATTGTGTGATCATTTTGTATTCGAAAAATGTAATCGTGCATTTTCTATGTCTATGCTAATATTATAAAGGGGAAAGATTTGTACAAAAATGCATTATGAAATAATTCAAAACCCACTAGGCCGATTTCAAAAATTATTGCACCATTAAAAAGCTATCATAGTTTATCTTACACGTTTTTAATATATATTTTTTTATTTTACGTGGACGAAGTCGCGAGTAACAGGTAGTTATTAATCTTGTTTAGGTATCGGCAGAAGAGACAGTGGGAGAAAACGAAGCCAGTAAAAGATACACTATTTCGTTCATACCAGTCGATGTTGGCGATCACAGTATTGAGGTAAGTTCTCGGTGTTTAACTTTTTACCGACAGCGCGGCAGCCAAAATTACACTTTTATATTCAAATGTACATATTTACAATATTATTCTTTTAAACCCATATCAATCACATTTGGACGTTTAACACTCCCTGCGCTACTGGTGTTTTTCATTGTAACATTTTAATCATCAAAAAAGCAAAAATCTCGGTTACCAGTATGCCATCTCTTTGGCTTTATGCGAACTTCTTGTCCGCCAAAGAGGTTGGATTTTGCTGAACACTACGTAATTAAAAAAAGTTTATTCTTTCTTCAACTGCTGTGTTGCCAAGTAATTATTGTTATTTAATGAATTATTTATAAAATGCAGGTGCGCGCGGGCAGTATGGGCGGACACGTGGAGGGCAGTCCGTTCCTGGTGAAGGCGTACAGCGCCGCGCGCGTCTCCGTCACAGACATATCGCCCGGCGTCGTCGGCAGACCGGTCTCCTTCACTATTAATGCATCACATGCTGGTAAATATTACCAACTAGCTTTCGCCCGCGACTCCGTCCGCGCGGTATTGAAGAAAAAAACAAAAGTAAATAGCCTATGTGTCCTTCCAGACTATCATCTAAGTCTATACCAAATTTCATCGAAATCCGTTCAGTCGTTTACGCTACAAACTCTAACAAACATCCATCTTCACTTTCACACATTTATAATATTAGTAAGATAGATAATATGTTGTCTCTTTATCTGTATATTTTATAAACCGTTTTGTTCTAGGTGCTGGTAATTTGGAAATAATCGTCGCTGTCAATGGTCGGAATGTCCCGAACTATGTACAAAGTGAAGGAAATGCCAGATTTAAGGTGGGTTAAGTTAGAAATGGAATGTCAGAAAAAAAAATTAATTTAGCATAGTAACTTTTCTCCGTACTGTATTATTCGATTTTAGGGTTTTTGGAATCGAATTAAAATCTTTTTTCCACAATTAACGACATGCTTATTTGAATAAGTAGTTTAGTTATTTCTATTAAATATAATTCAAGATTTAATATACCAGAAACATAAACTTGACAGTTTGGATAGATGTTATAGTTTGTAGCCTAAACTGCTGAATGGATCTCGATGAAAATTGGCATAGTAGAGTATAGTCTGGAAGAACAAATACGCTACTCATTTTTCTTTTATGTATTTTTAAAGTACGCGAACGTAGTGACGAAAGCTTGTTCAAAATAAATGACGATTATATATGTACTTGTCTCCCAATACGGCCGGTCCCCGCGGGAGAACTACACCATTACCCTCCAAACAAAAGAAGTATACACTAAATACACGAACCCTTAGAACTCCAGAAAACCTGCAGGAATTGGAAAAATCCTTAGAAGACAAACTTTGATATATTAGGGATAAGCGAAATGAGAACATTGGATGAAAATATCTAGGAATTCCCAGATTTCATACTATTCCTTAAAGGGGAAATTGCGCGACAAAGAGGGGTGGGATTTATAATTTAAAACCACACGAGACCGTACATAAGTGAACTAAAAGGATTTCCGATAGGCTAGCGGTGCTCAATTTTAAGTTACCAGGCTACAAGAAGAACTGGTCTTTCATCAGAATATACGCTCCAACTGAACAAACAGAAAGACTAATTATTGAAACATAATACGATGATATATTGCTTTTGATAAAAAACAATTCTGGAAATCATATAGCTAAAGGTAACACTTAATAATGAAGAATCAATTACAAGATTTATAGAAATATCTGCAACAACCTAATAAAACAACTTAAAAAAGAATATTATGAAGTAGAATTAAAATCAAATGCTAATAACACCAAGGTAATATGGAAAATAGTCAAAGAGGTATGTGATTTACAGCAAACGAAAAATGTATCGCTTGACTTACTTTCTATCGATAAAACAGACAAAGAATCATTAAACAAAATGAACGACTACTTCGCAAATATTGGTAAGACTTTAGCTAATACATTAAATAAACTAGGAAAAACTGAACAAGCTCTAGCCAACGAAGCGAAAAGAGAAAGCCCACTGAATTCTATGTCAATTTACATAACAGATCCTGATGAAATACGTATTATTAATCAAGTCAGTGTCAAAACGAAAAAACATT